GGCCACTGGTGAACTTCAGGCCTTCCCTCTCGACAGAATGGGCAGCCACTGGAAGGTTTTGAGCAAAGTAATGGCATCTGATTGATGTTCTAGTAGGATCGCTCTGGCTCCTGTAAAGTAGACCATGAGAGGGGCGCCTGGGTGGCACAGTCGGTTAAGCGTCCGACTTCAGCCAGGTCACGATCTCGCGGTCCGTGAGTTCGAGCCCCGCGAGTTCGAACCCCGCGTCAGGCTCTGGGCTGATGGCTCACAGCCTGGAGCCTGTTTCCGATTCTGTGTCTCCCTCTCTCTCTGCCCCTCCCCCGTTCATGCTCTGTCTCTCTCTGTCCCAAAAATAAATAAACGTTGAAAAAAAAATTTGTTTTTGAAAAATAAAGTAGACCATGAGGCATAAAGGTGGAAGCTGAGACCCATCAGGAGGCTGTTGTGAGGACTGTAAGAGGGAAGGTGGTGGCCTGGACCGGAGAGGAGGTGCTAGGGGCCACTGGGGCAAGCATGGGATTCTGGATGTTTCTGAAGATGCCTGTATAATGGGGGAGCCGGGGTAGCGGCGGCCAGGGGCTCCACGTGGGACAAGTGAATCTGAGACACTTGCTCCGCACCCTATAGAGATGCCCAAAGGGCAGTTGAATAGATGAGTCTGGGGTCCGGGGGGGGGAAGCTGGGACCTGGAGGTACCGTCGCACGGGTTCCGGTGTAAGCACACGATTCAGAGCCAGGAGACAGGTGGAAATACGAGGCGCTTCTTGTGATGCAAAAGAAAAGAGACTCACGGTCGCAGAGGTGAACGGGGCAGCCAAGGAGACTGAGAAGCAGCAACGGGGAGACAGGAAGAAAGCGTGCGTCCCAGGAGCCGGAGGGTGGGGGCAGCCCCGCCGTCACCCCCAAGCCGTGGGCACCGTCAGACTCAGCAACAGGAACGTGACCTTGGCAAGAGTCGCTTCCTCAGAGCGGCGGAGGCAGAAGGTAGAATTGCGGACCAGAAAGGACAGCTCTTTTGAGGAGTCTTCCCGTGAATGGAAGAAGGGAAGCAGGACAGTTGGTGGAGAAGGAAGAGGATCCAAGAAGCTGTGCTTTTTGTTGTTTAAGATGAGCGAAGTAATGAGCGACCGCGTGAGGAGGGCAGTGCTCCATAGAGGACAAAGAATCCGCATTGAGAGTCGAGATGCTCTTGAGTGGGGGCGGGAACGGGGGGTGTGCTCAAGTGGGCGCCGTGGCCGTGGCCGTGGCCTGGCCAGGCGGCCAGGTGGCAATAGGAGGGGAAACAGAAGGTTCTAAGTCACGTGGCAGAGGACGCGTTGGGGACTTCAGGGGAGAGGCGCGCCAGCGTCATGCTGGAGGCGGGGGTGGGGCCTACAGCGGGGTCAGCAACCTGCTGTGTAAAGGGGCAGGTGGTAAATATTTTAGGCTTTGGAGGCCAGACAGTATGTTGTGGTGGCCCGGTGTCACAGTGTAGCACAGACACAGGTGCGGCTCGTGAGCTGACGGGCACGGAGGTGTTCCGGTAACACCTTACAGAGACAGGCGGCAGGCTGCATCTGGTCTGTTGTTGCTAATTTGCCAGTTCCTGGTCCGGGACCCAGGCTGTGGGCCAGCAGTCCTCAAAGCGTGGTCCCTGGGCCAGGAGCACGAGCATCACCCGGGGGACTAGTTAGAAATGCAGATTCGGGGCGCCTGGGTGGCGCAGTCGGTTGGGCGTCCGACTTCAGCCAGGTCACGATCTCGCGGTCCGTGAGTTCGAGCCCCGCGTCAGGCTCTGGGCTGATGGCTCAGAGCCTGGAGCCTGTTTCCGATTCTGTGTCTCCCTCTCTCTCTGCCCCTCCCCCGTTCATGCTCTGTCTCTCTCTGTCGCAAAAATAAATAAACGTTGAAAAAAAAAATTAAAAAAAAAAATGCAGATTCCTGGGCGCACCCCCTATCTGTGGGACCTGAGACTCTTGGTCCCCACAACAATCTCCAATTCAGACGGAGCTTGTGATTCTGGAATCCTGGGAGTTAAGTACCCCTGAGTGCCCAGGCTGGGGGTTGAGACACCACCGCTTAGCAACTGGACCCAGGGAAAGCCAGACAGGAGAGAGTGGGGTGTGGGCTGGGTCACATCCCCCAGTGAAGGGCACAGGCATCCCGCCTGCTATGGGCTGCCTGGCCCCATCCCCTTCCACAAGACCCTGTGAGGACATGCTGCGTCCCCCACCCCTGTGGCCATCCCTCCTCCCCGGTGACCTCTGGACCACCGTGTTTGGACGCAATGCCTGGCACTCTGGGGACCCCCAGTTCTGTGGCTGTGGTTTCCTGTCCATGGACAGGGCTCCGTGTTGTACAGGCAGCCACCGGGACCTGCGCACAGTAGGGCCTCGACAGACATTCTGTGCACCGGTAAATGACTTAAGGTTAACGACTTTCATGAGAAGGTTGGCTTTCGTGCCCTGAGCCACCTGGCAGAGCAAACCCCAGGAGCACCTGATGGGCACAGAGGGGAGCCTGCCTCTGAGGCCTCCCACCCCCAAAGCTGCAGGACTCCATTCCCCTGGAGCTGTGTAACTGACCTCTTTCTGCGGGAGAGGCACGGTGCCTCTTTCTTGCATAGATTTGGGTGGGGGCAGTCAGGCTGGTCCGTCTGGTGACAGTGACCCTGATGGACCCCAGAGTAAAAGAATAGGTCACCAGGAGGCCTTCAGGGTCTGCCCGGAGCCATCCACCAGGTGTGGATGGACAGGGCCAAGCAGACAAGGGGCCTGGGGCCTGGGGAGAGGTGAGCCTGGGTCACAGCATCGCAGGTCATGAGGAATCAGCTGATAAGCCTGAAGACTGGATTCGGCATCAGCCAAGGATCTACTGCATTTCTTTTAAGGATTTAAGTGCATTTTTTTTTTTCATTTTGTCATTTCTTTCTGAATGAGATTTCTTAAGAATGAAACTTTGCAGGGGGCGGGGGCACCTTCACGGCTCAGTCAGTTAAGCATCCAACTCTTGATCTCGGCTCAGGTCTTGATCTCATGGTTCGTGAGTTTGGGCCCCGCATTGGGCTCAGCTCTGGGCGCGGAGCCTACTTAAAAGAAAGGAAAAGGGGCGCCTGGGTGGGTCGGTCGGTTAAGCGTCCGACTTCGGCTCAGGTCATGATCTCACGGTCCGTGAGTTCGAGCCCCGCGTCAGGCTCTGGGCTGATGGCTCAGAGCCTGGAGCCTGTTTCGGATTCTGTGTCTCCCTCTCTCTCTGCCCTTCCCCCGTTCATGCTCTGTCTCTCTCTGTCTCAAAAATAAATAAACGTTAAAAAAAATTTTTTTTTAAAAGAAAGGAAAAGAAGAAAACTTTGGGGACCTTCGCTGTCTGCATCATTTCTGTCATTTCCGTGAGGCTGTCTCTGTAGTGAGATAACCTCTGATTTGCGTTTTCTCTCCCCATTTTTCCAGCATGTTCACACACATGCGCATGCCCCTCACTCAGAGGAGAGCTGAGTGACGAGTGAGACCTAACCTGCACTACGTACGAGCCCTCTGCCGGGGTTGGAACGTGTCCAGAGAAAGCCTGCTTCCTGCTGGCAGGAGGGTCACGTCCCGGCAGAAGGAAGAGTGATGGGCATTCACTGAGAGGCCCCGCTGGGAGCAGGCGGGGCTGCATTTTGAGCCCAGACTATCCTTTTAAAGCCCATCGGCGTGGTGATTTTGGATCAGAGGACCATCACTCTTTTGGAAACCCTGTATGACATCCCTGCTGAGTACCAAGCCCTGTTTGAGGCACAGAGGATGTAACAGTGAACAAAACCAGCAAACTTTCTGTGCTGGTGGGGCTCGCACTCCAGAGAGAGTTAAGACCTCATAACTCAGGGACAGACCATCAAGAAGGTCCCTGGTGCTGACTACACAGGACAGCAGGCAGGGTGCTGGGAGAGAACCCCTGAGCATGATAGTCAGGGGCGGGCTCCCAGAGGAGACCCATGCTGAGAAGGTCGGTCATAAGGGTATTTCAGGCAAAAGGAGCTGTAAGTGCAAAGGCCCTGTGGTAGGTGTGCCCTTGGCCTGTCGGAGAAGAGAAGAAAGGGGTGCATGACCTAATCTCCTTTTAAAGTAGAAATGGAAGGAGGGAGAGCAGTCAGGAGGTCCAGGTGACATGTGGGTGGCTCAGCCTGCGGGTAGCAGGGGGAAGAGTGAATGGACAGACATGTCTGTTGCATTCATTATGTGTTGCTACATAAAAATACTGCTGGAAGCGTAGGGCCTGAAAACTCAGTTTCTGTGAGTCAGGAGTCCGGCAGAGCACAGCTTACCAGGGTCCTCTGCTTCAGGGCCTCACAGGCCTGCAGCCAAGGTGTTTGGCCAGGGCCGGGGTCTCATTTGAAGGCTCAACTGGGGAAGGATACTCTTCCAAACTCACGCAGTTCGAAGGATTCACTTCTCTGTGGGTGGTTGGACTGAGGGCCTCAGTTCCTGGCCTCACGGGCCTCTCCAGCACGGCAGCCCGCGTCGTCACAGCCAGCAAGGGAGGGAGTCTGCGAGCAAGACAGAAGGCACGACTGTATCACCTGATGATGGAAGTGACACCCTGTGACCTGTGCCGTGTCCTCTAGGGTGGGAGCAGGTCACTAGGTCCGGCGCACACCCACGGGGAGGGCGTGAGTCTCTGGAGCCGGGGTTATCCGACTGGCTGCCTTCCTGGAAGCTGCCCCGGGGCACCTGGGAATCTGCAGGCTCAGGGACGAGCCTGGGTGGTGGTGGTGCCACTTCCTGGGACAGGGGAGACAGCCCAGAGTTCTAAGTCCACAGATTTCCCCTGGCACCACCGGGAAAGGGCTCCCGGACCCTCAGGAAGGCAGCTGGGGAGGCGGAAGGGAGAACTACTGAACCCAACCACCCACCTTGTCTGAGCCCCCATGGGCTGGTCTGTCCATCTGGTGTGGGGGGTACAGGTGCCCGACATACAGGGCCTTCAGTATCACAGAGCTTTCTGGGCAAACCAGACTGCCCTTTTTGAACCACCTCCCCTCTACTCTGCTTTTCCTCCAGAATCTTCCGTCCGTGAAGAAGAGGGCAGGTCAGCACAAGTGAGGCCGGCTCCATGTATCCGGAATCGACAACGGGCTCCCCAGCGCGGCTCTCTCTGCGGCAGACGGGCTCCCCCGGCATGATCTACAGGTGATTCCCCCGCCCCCCCCACCCCATCCACCTGGGCCACTCTCGGGGTCAGTCCTGCGTCTGGTTGGGGGGGTCCCTGAGGCCAGCCCCACCCCTTGGCCCAGAGGGAAAGATCGAGGGAGGCCCACAGGACTCTGAGGTGCATGTAGGCAAGCTCTTTCTCCAAGGAAAGGAATGGAAACTTTTACAACCAAAGTGGGACAGAAAAGCCCGCGATTTTCCCAGAGAGGTGAAGCCAGGATTAGACTTGGCCCTGACTCCCCTGAAATCTTGGAGGTGGCAGGCCCGGAAGCGAGTGGGGGACCCTCCCCAGTTCCTGTTTCTTTCTTACACATCACAGGCCGTGCAGGCCCCTTTGAGGGGGGCTCAGAGCCTTGCACCAGGAGGGTGGAGGCATCCAGCTGCTCACCAGGCACCCTTACCTCTCTAATGTAGGGGCCACCTCCCAAACCCAGCTCTGGGTCTTTCCCTTTGGAAAGTAGCCCAGGCTGAACCACAGGGAGGGCACGCCAAGGCGTTGGGTGAAGGCTGCTGTCCCGGGCACGGAGCACAGAACCCAGATGGCAGTGGTTGTCCTGAAAGATTGGGGCCCGGGCGGGACACCAGGGGGGGCCCATCGGTCCCGATGGATTGGGCCTTTGTCAAAAATTGTTAGGGCCTGATCCAGAGCAAGTATCTGTAGAGCCCACAGGGAAAGGGGGCGTCTCGCCTTCATCCAAGTCCTAAAAAGAACCGCGTGGTCACATGCAGACGCGCCAGCACATGGGGTGGCCGGCAGCTTCTCGGCTTGAGGGTTTTGTACTGTCGTTCTAAAGCAGGTTTCGTTAAAACCCAGACCGTCACCCAGAGGTTTACCTCTCGTCTTCGCTTCCCCGCCCGCCCCGTGTGGGGGGAAGGAGCCTGGGCGCCCGAGGACCCCGCGTCCGCCCAGGCGGGGCCTCCGCCTCCCTGTGCCACTAGGTGGCGCTGCCACCGAGCACTTGGTACGCGGGCGCGCGTCCTCCCGACCCACAGCCCGGAGCTGAGCGGGGAGGGGCCGGGCCGCGGGGCCGTCGCTGGTGTGTCCCGCGGGGCCGTCGCCTGCACCTCCCTGTGGCTGATGCCAATTGTGGACTCTCTCTCTCTCTCTTTCTCTCCTTTTGCTCTGTCCTCCATCGCTGTCCGCAGTACTCGGTATGGGAGCCCCAAAAGACAGCTCCAGTTTTACAGGTAACGAGCCCTCCGTTTTCCCTAAGACCCGCACGCTGAAGGCAGGGGAGCGGGTGGGAGGGCCACGCCCCGTGCAGGTCGGGTGTGCCGGTGACCTCTCCAATAAGACACGGGCTCCGGTGGCCTCCCACACGGCACCGTGGAAGGCTCTGATGAGCAGCGTGAAGCCGCTTCCGTGTGTGAGCTGATCTCTAGAGTTTGCTTGCGTTTGAGCAAACGGACTTGTGATACCTGCTCAGCCGTCTCCAGATCCACCTTAAAATCTCACTTGTGGGGCGGCGGATGTGGCTGTCTCCTGTTGTCTCTCGTGGGTTTGTGCTTCTTGGGTGATTGGAGCCAAAGAGACGGGGCAAACCCAACTGTTCTCCCCTTTTCTTTGGATGTGAGCTGACTTGTAATCAGAGGCGGATACCGCCTCAGGGGCGTGTGGCTCTGGCGCGACCCGGGTCAGGGGCGGACCTGCTGGTGTTTGTCTGGTGCGCCTCCCCGTTGCTGAATCAGCACAGCGTGTTCTTGGGTCAGAGGCTGTGCCCCAGAGGGACAGGGCGTCCAGGTGCGTCCAAGGCAGGTCAGCCAGCAGAGTCCTCCCGGGCGAGTCCCTTCGGCAGCCTGTAGCTCACCTGTGCAGTGGGGAGGGGAGCCACCAAGGTGGGTGCTCCTCGGGAAGGCTATAACTCCAGAAATTTACTTTGATTGACATTTCGGGAGCCCCGGGTCAGCCCCGCCAGCCTCAGGACCACGTGGCTCTTGGGGGCAGGACCCTGGTGCACAGTGTTTGTCCTGGCATTCGGGCCTGCGAGGTCTGTGTCCAGGAGCAGCTCCCCAGGGTCGTACACACCCACCAGCGCAGAGCCGGGGGCGGTCGCCGCCGACACCCCCCGGAGGACGCGGGGACCTGGATTCCCACAGCCCCCCCGCACCTCTGAGAGTGACAGAGGGTCTGGGTCCTCGGGCTGATTTCGCCACTACTCCGGTGCCTCCCGTGGGGTCTCACTCCTTACGGAGAACCCTAAAATGGTGACTGGAATTGTTGCTCGATGAGATTTTGCCTGAAATAGTTAGATCTGAACCTGGGCTTGCAGATGCTTTTTTCAGATGACACTTTTGCCATCATGTACGTATGACGGCATGGTGTATCAGGGCGAGTGCGAGACATTCGTCCCGGAAGGACTTGACCACTGGGACCAAACAGGCCTTCGAGCTGCATCCTCTGAGACCCCGGAGGAGAGGCGTGACAGGGTGGGTGGCGGGGCCGTGGCACAGACCGCCGCCTAAGGGGCCCCGCCGCGGGACGGGACAAGTAGATTGCCAGGTATCACAGAGCCAAAGTGAAGGAGGGTCCCACTCCCCTTGCTGGCCCTCGGGGCCCCACAGATCCAACCTGTTGTCCACTCCCTGGGGAGCCTTCTGGTTGACTCCCCCACCCATGCCCAAGAGGCTGTCTTACCCTGAGGCGAGCCCTGATGGAGAATTGCACCCCAGATCCGCCGACCTCTGTCCCTGATGCCCACAGGCTCTGACCGTCCTGCCCTTTGCAGCTCCAATGTGGTTGCTTCTCACAGACACCGAGGTGTCTCCTGTGGGGTCTCCGACTATGACCTCTAAAGAGGCTGCATCTGTGTTTAATGTACTGGGTGCCACTCGCAGTGGGGCATCCTTGTCACCTGGGCCCTGACACAGCTACCAGAGGGTTAAGTCCATCGGCAGCATCCTGCCGACTGACCACCCCTCCCCGAACGGGGCACAGGTGTTCAAGGTGTGCGCCCTGCCTTGGGGCGGCTCACGGACTAGTAAGGGAGGTGAGACCCTGTATCTGTCAGCTCTCCCAGAGAGTGCCTCGTAACAAACAGGCCCCAAACTCAGCACCTTACAAGGAGAAGCGTGTATTTCTTGTTTATGTGTCCGTGTCGGTTCATGTGGGCTCGGCTGGGTTTGGTCTGAGCCGCAGGTGGGGCCCAGGTGTTCATCCTCCCATTGTTTTTAACCAGAGGCTATTCCCGGCAAAAGTGCGAGAGGAAGAGCAGGATCATGTAATGTCTTCGAAGGCCCACGGTTGGAACCGGCACACTGCTCGTTCTTTTGGCCAAAGCAAAGCTCACGACCACGCCAGATGTCCGAGGGCAGGAAGATATTCTCCCGCCCTCCCACCCCAGGAGAACTACAGTCATGTGACGCAGAGGCGGGTAGAGGACCCGGCATCATAATGCAGTCTACCCCAGAACCCAAATAACTAAAATATCTAGAAGGCAGAACGTGTCGTGGGGGAAGTCTAAACAGCTGTTGGCGTTCCGAGGAAGGCCAGGCGTGGGCACAGCCCACTGAGAGTCGGGGAAATCTTCATGGAGGAGACAGCATGACGGCTTTGAGCGGGGCCTTGGGGGCTGGGCAGGCTCCTACATAGAGCCCAGGAGGAACCTTCCAGGAGATGCCTGAGCCACAGGCCACCTCTTGGAGAGGTGCCAAGAACAGGAGGTGGTGGTGACACAGACCGGCCGTGAGGGACGGGATGGAGAGGGACAGGAGGGACCGGAGGCCAGACTATAGAGGAAGATGGAGGTCAGAGGGGGAAGGGCCGTGAGTGCCTAGCAAAGGAGCTTGGACTGCATTCAGTGGGCAATGGGGAGCCATCGACGGTGTCTGAGCAGGGATCAGAGCTCTGCTGGGGCAGGGAATGAGATGACAGGTGGAAAGGCTGGGTGGGGGAGCCCAGGAATGATGGAGTGAAGGGCAGCAGGGCAGGAGGACAGGAAGTCAGGAACCATGTCCTCCAGGTGACTGATGGCTGGTGCTGAGAAGGATGTTGAGTTGACAGAGGGGTGCGGGGCCTGGGGGGAAGGAGGCGGGGTGTGTCAGGGTATGGCAGGCTGATGCCACCACCCAGCGGTGGGCCCTGTGACAGAGAGGCCAGGGAGCTGACGTGGCAGGTGGGCGCCTTTGAGAGGGACCACCCGGCCCCGTCGCTGGGGCCTCTCCAGGTAGATACCTGCTGGTGTTTGCCTGGCTTCCGCAGCCTGCTTCCCGTTTTGTTTGCTTTCTACTCCGGGTCCCGAGCAGCAGTTCCCCAGCAGGGTCGTAGACAGATGTAGGTTTGTCCTCGGACAGCCACTCAGCCTCCATCCAGGATCCCTCGTGCTGGAGGGTCGTGTCATGCTGAGACTTCTTTGGGATCCTAGGATGACAAGAAACGCCCCCGGGGTGGTGATTCTGGAACAGGGGCTCGGCATGGCTACTGCCCAGAGCTCAGCCTCAAACCCCAGATCAGAATGTGTGCCGCGAGGGGGGGGGTCCCTGCACCGCTGACTGCAGGGAGTGGTAGCGTGGTGTTCAAATAGCAGACTTCCAGAACTTTCTGGCCATGTAAAGGTACTGGCAGGTTAAGTACCCTTGACTGGGGCATGTCCCAGCAGAAGGGTGGAGGGACATCCGTCTGCCTTGCTGAGGGTCTCGCCAGACCCCCAGCCCCTTCACTGTGGGTGGTGGTCACGCGCTGTGGGACCCCTTACTGCAGACATACGAATGTGGTGGGGGTCCCGAGCTGCAAGCACGGGTCCTGGCCTCAGATCACCGGAAAGCAGGGCCTGCCGCTCTCCACCTGTGGGTGGTGTCCCTGGCCCTCGGGGGCACGGGAGGCCTGCTGGGCGAATGAGCCTCAGGCAATGCCAGGACCCCAGTGGGTGCCCCCTCCCAGCCCCACAAGCCAGGAGCTGGCCTCAGCCAGGCTGCACCGCGGGACTGCACTTCCCGGGCTTTTAGGGGAAAGAGATGCTGCTCGTGAATAATTCAGCCTTTCACTGAGCTGAAAACGCCCTAATAGACTAATGGACTCCCTGCCTCCAAACTCGACCCTCGTGGGGCGCTTCTCATTCACCAATTGCTTCTGACGTCCTACAGTGACACTCCCTAATGAACCAGCTGCCACGCCAGATCTGTGCAGCGGCTGGTGAACCCTATAAACTAGACTGTGTCCTTTTTAACGAGCAGACGCCAGGAAGGCAGGTGAGTGGCCCCCTCAGCTCCAGGAGTCCAGGGCAGCTGCTGTCTCCAGCGGTGGGGGGCGGGAGGGGGGGTGTTGCTGCTTGGGGACACGTGGCCCAGGAATGGAAGCCACAGAGGGACAGTATTGGGGGTGCATTTGGCTGATCCGAAATCAGATCCTCTATATTTTTTTCAAAACAGAAAACCTTAAAAAAAAAAAAAAAAAAAAAGCCAGCCCTGAGTAACTGCAAGGTGACAGTGGGAGGCAGGATGGTGGGCTTTCTCCCGCTTCAGTGAGCTGGCCTCCCAGACCTGCCGGCTGGGACCGTCCGTCTTCCTGCCTGGGGGAGACCCAGACATCCAGCCACACCTTGTTGGGGTCATCATTAGGATTTGGCATTGTCAAGGTTGCCCCGAGAATGACAGCAGGGAGGTTTGGCGGCTGTCAGGAAGGTCTGTCTGGAAACACATGGCCTAGGGAGCTGGGGCAGGGTCTGGGATGGGGGAGGCAGGGCGCTTGTCTGGGCCTTGGCTCGCTGATTGTTCTCCCGCAAAGGTGGTTTTGTTTTTGCCCTGATGCGCTGCTGTGCATTTTAAAGCTGCGCTCCGGAATGATGCTGTATTCCTTTGCAACCCCGCTTTCAGGAACTCGGGCTGGTTTCTCTAAGATCGAGACAAATGTCACCGTTTAAAAGAGCTGTTCAGGATTCCTTCCGAACCTCACATTTCATGCCTTGGTGGCTTTCCGTAAACAGACCACAGTTCAGAAATTCCAGGTGGAAGGCCCTTCGGGGCGGTCGTGGTCCCCACTGACTTAATGAGGTCGATGCCTTCAGTTCGGTTTTTCCGGGTCACGGTGTTCGTTTACTGGAATCCCCCTGAGCCCTCCCTCCACAAGAATAGATTTGCAAAAGGCAGGCCCCGGCTCAGGGACGAACCTATAGGCGCCTCATAATTAGCACTGGCTATCGAGGAGGGGGCGGGCTTCTCTTGAGATGGGGTGGGGGCTGGATCTCGAGGAGGAG